CAGTCTCTTCATTCGCCTTCCTTACTATATATATCTCCGCACTCAATACTAGGCTGAAATCCGACCTATGTGTGAGGGGGAACGTTATAATATTTAAATATTTAACCACGCTTTTATCTAACAGTTTGAGTTTTTTAAGCAGTCGATGGCGGTTCCACAAAATTTCACAAAGTATCCGATAAAAAAGGAATGAAATTTCAGGTTAATAAAGTGCAAGTTGGGCATTACATTTGTGGTTTAATGTTGTTAATAATTGAGCCCTTCGAATTGGTTTTTGCTTTTAATCATGAGAGATATAGTAACTTTGCTTTTTCTAACTTTTTATTTTGAACTCTCTCTCTCTCTCTCAAGATTGTTACAATGCTTAAATACTAGACCACGCATTCATTTAAAGGCTTAAGTTGGCAGCGGTCCAATTATCAAAGTAGGAGGTTCGAGTCAAAATCTTTCCAGACTTCTTATTCGCCTTTGTTACTATATAACTTCGCGCTCAATACAAGGCCAAAAATTTGGCCTACGCGGGTAGGGGAACATTGTAATATTCAAATGTTTAATTACGCTTTTATATAATAGTTTGAGTTTTTTAAGCAGTCGGTGGCAGTCTGACAAAATTTAACAAAGTATCCGTTCAAAAAAGAATGAAATTTCACCTTAAGAAAGTGCAAGTTGGGCATTACATTTGTGGTTTAATGTTGTTAATAATTTAGCCCACGGAATTGGTTTTTGCTTTCAATTATGAGAGATATAGTAACTTTGCTTTTTTTAAGTTTTTATTTTAGACTCTCTCTCTCAAGATTGTTACCATGATTAATTATTAAATCATGCCTTCGTCTAAAGGTTTAAATTGGTAGTGGTCCCATAAAATCTTTCATGTTATCAAAGTAGGAGGTCCAAGTCCAAATCTTTCCGGGCTTCTTATTCACCTCCCTTACTATATGTCTTCGCGCTTATTACTAGGCCAAAATCTGGTCTATGAGTGAGAGTAATGTTATAATATTTAAATGTTCAACCACGCTTTTATCTAACAGTTCAAGTCGGAGGCAGTCCCATAGAATGTCACAATGTATCCGATCAAAAAAGAATGAAATTTCACCTTAAGAAAGTGCAAGTTGGACATTACATTGTGGTTTAATGTTGTTAATAATTAAGCCCCTGGAATTAGTTTTTGCTTTCAATTATGATAGATATAGTAACTTTACTTTTTTAAGTTTTTATTTGGACTCTCTCTCTCTCTCTCTTTCTCTCAAGATTGTTACCATGCTTAAATAGTAAACTACGCCTTCGTCTAAAGTTTAAGTTGGCAGTAATCTTATGAAATCTTACATATTATCAAAGCAGAAGGTCAGAGTCCAAATCTTTCTAGACTTCTTTTTAGCCTCCCTTATTATATACTAGGCTAACATTTAGCCTATGCGCGAGGGAAATGTTATAATATTTAAATGTTTAATCATTCTTTTATTTAACAGTTCAAGTTTTTTGAGCAGCCGGAGACAGTCCCACAGGATTTCACAAAGTATCTGGTTAAAAAAAGAATGAATTTTCACCTTAATAAAGTGCAAGTTGGGCATTACATTCGTGGTTTAATGTTGTTAATGATTGAGCCCCCGGAACTGGTTTTTGCTTTCAATTATGAGAGATATAGTAACTTTGCTTTTTTTAATTCTTTATTTTGGACTCTTTCTCTCTGTACCGAAAGGGGCAAAGTTAATCTCTAATTAATCATATTTTATTTGGAGTAGTTGTCAAACTTTTTTAGAACACAATACACACCCCCTCAAGATTTACGATGCTTAATTATTAAATGACACATTTATCTAAAAATTTAAGATTTTTAGAACAGCTGGAAATCTTAAATAATATTAGAGTAGGAGATCCAAGTCCAAACCTTTCGAGGCTCTTTATTTACCTCCTCATTATATATTTTTGCCGCTTAATACTAGGCCAAAATCCTACTTAAGCTTGAGGGGAAGTGTTATACGTTTTATCTAATTGTTTGAGTTTTTTGAATTGTATGTAGTATCAAAGGAGGAGGTCATAATCCAACTCTTCCCAAGCCCCTCGGTTGCCTCCCTTATCATATATTTTCACGCTTAATACTAAGTCAAAATCAGTTTAAACGTGAGGAGGAGCATCACAGTAATTAAATATTTAATGACGTATTTATCTAGCAGTTTATATTTTTAGGTCAATCAGCGGCGGTCCCACGAAATTTTACGAAGATATCCGGTCAAAAAAAAAGAATGAATTCTCACCTTAATCAAGTGCAAGTGGGGCATTACTTTTTTTAATCCCTTGCGAGATGATCTTTTCTCTTAACTTATCTTGCACGTCTTTACACACGCAAGACAAGTGGACGATCGTGGTATTGCCTAAAAGCTTGTGGGTTAGGTTGTCCTTGTCGCTAAACAGTTATTGGGGGAGAAAAAGTGCTCATGATTATTTGTTTATGCTAAGGATTAAATTAACTTTACATTTGATGGAGTTGTTGAACTAGCAAAATCTCCTCGGGCCGCGAAATACGCTCTCGTGTTCAACCTATGTCGTCTCTAATGGCGACATGGTTTGAAAGTCTCGACAAGTTGGAGGAGGTCTCCAAATCCAATTTTGGCTTGAGTGAATTAGGGGCTAATCGCATAAAGCATGACTTTTTGGCTCGCGGGGGTCACGTGACATGTGTTACGAGGGACCGTTTGTACGAAGGAAAACCGTTTTTTGGGAAACTGTTTGTTGACTTTCTGGTGTTTAGATGACGAAAAACTAATCCATCTGCAGAAAAATATTTTCCACGGACTCAAAATAACAAGCTTTAATTGAGGAAAAAATTGAGGGAAAATGACTTTCTCTTATGGTAAAAAGGAAATTACTTTCCCTAAATTACCAAACAAAAAAAATCTAATCATCTTCCTTGGAAAACGATTATCATGAAAAATATTTATCGGTATCATGAAATTTTCGGTAAAACAAACGCACCTATATTATTATTTAATTGTTCTCTATTGGCTCATAGGAATAGTTCTTTGGCACCTAGGATAAGCATGATCTTGGAGCATTATCCGTAGAGATTGGAAAGTCCATGCAACTTGACATTGCAAGGATCATTTGATTGGATTATTATTACATTATAAAATTTGCAAGAGGGGGAAGATATTTATATAGCTAGTGTAACGATGGGGACCCGCTTATATATTTCTTGTTTTTATGGTGAGAAAGCCTGCTTTCCATGGATTAGATCAAACGTGAATCAAAACTTGAGTGGCTCGACCCAGATATGATATTATTTGTACAAGATGATATTGGGAAATGGACTTATAGCATGCATGTAAGATTTCATTTATTTAGCCCCATCAATGGATACGATAGAATATCACTATACTTGTCAGGGGATTACTTTATTTTTTGCGAGATTTTCGCAGATGTACATGAGGTTGCATAGATTCTACTTTATATAACCATATAAATGGGAAAAAAAAACTGTTCCATATCCCATAGAACAAGGGAATGTATGACCGCCCTGACGTCAACCATAGCCTTTGACATTCTTTCAAGTAACAATAACAACTAATAATAATTATAGCTGCACCATATTTATAATACTAATTTTCCAAGGGAACATGCTCTGGTTAGTCTATGATTGCTCAAATTAGCATAAATCAGTGCAGAAATTCTTGAATAGTTATTGACTAAGATGTGCAAAGACAAAGAACAATATCACTATCAAGTCATTGGATGCAAGCCAATTTGTTCTGATTCATATTTTCCACCCTTCTTCATCAAGATTACTGTTGGACAATGAAAACCCAACTTCATTGTTTCCAGCAGCTTTTGGAAACTTGGGGCAAGTGATGAAACAATGGGCCGTGTTGCTCATGGTATCCGGAAGTGGCGACCCATTTAGATTCTTGTGTTGAATGATAGAGAAAGCCAACTGGGGAAGGTATCATCTTTGGATGTATTGAGATTCCATATCTCTTCACTAAACTATGATGGCTCAAGCAGCTTTGGGACAACTTTGCCATGTGCACTCCAACATCTGAGCTTACAAGGGAAGTATTGGGTAAAAGGAGAAAGAGGACAACTTGAGTTAAATCATCTACCAAAGCCAAAAGGGGATGGTCAATAGGGACATGTTTTAGAGAAGAATGTGAAAGGGTATTTAGAAGTCTGGTCCTTAGGAGGGATGAGAAAACTGGTCTAGAGTACCGCTTGACTGCTGCATAAAAAAATAAAAACAAATAGATTGGGAGGGTCATTGACTAAAGAAGTTTAAGACTTGATTGCATCGTGTTAATTTAATTATGGTAGATGACTTGACGAAATAGTGTTCATTAGAGAAAATTAGCATAGAAAGACGAAATAGTCAAAAGAAAAAAAGGAAAGCAAAGAAAAAAAAAAGTATCAGTCAACAAAGTCAAAATTAAGTTGGGGGGAGGAAAAAGGAGAGATTATGTTTGACCTACCAAGGACATGTACTCAATATTCTATCATGACCCAAAGACATGGAATTGGCACTAAAGTTTATAACAGTGTCAGTTGCCAAGAGTGACTTTTTTTCTTTGAACTTAGTCAATAGATTCATGACATGAAAAGCACATCAAGGAGAATTAGTGTCACCTAGCACAATTAAGAGCACAACTCGAGAATATTGGGAAAATGGCACGCTTACAATCATACTAATCTGTCTTAATGAAAAGACTTGCACTTATCTGCGGCTAGGAGCATAATCAAGCTGAGTTGGACCAATACAATGTGAGCTCGAGCTCGGCTCACTTACTAGTTGCTTGAAATTCAACTCGAGCTCGATCGAGTATTAATTATCGTGCTCGAGCTTGACTAGATTAGAAAATCGACATGCTCGAGCTCGACTCAAATTACAATCAATTCATAAATATAAACTCGAGTTCGAGCTTTTATAAGATCGAATATTTTGTAATGTTAAGTGTCTATCTTTGTAATAATTACATATTTTCAACAAATTGTGAAATCTCAATCGAGCTCACGAGCCACTCCCGTTTGCTTCTGCGTCTTCAGCAGCTTCGAACATGGTAAGACCCTCCCCCTCTGTGAAATTGTGAAGGAGGTATCTTTCGAGGTGAAGAAGCGGCAACCCGGAAGTTCCAAGCTTTTCTGGTAATGTACTCTTTCATCTTATAGATTCTAATGGCTTGATAGTGTCGGAGGCAGAGGAAGAACGAGTTGTCCATGTTCTTTCCGCAGAACCCAATACTGAAGACTTGTCCACCATGGCTGTAATAGTTGTTTTCGGAGCACGTTGTGTTGTTTCTGGATAATGGGTGTTCGTTGGCAATCCCGTGCGGAGTTTACTGGAGGAATTTCGAAGATTGCATTTTGTGTGTTTGATGAAATGCTTCTGTGAGAAGTTTGATCTAGCTACGTTGCTGGTGGAGGGGAACTATGGTGGAGATGATGGTGGGTGAGGTGATGGACATGGTGGTTGGATCATGATTGTGGGGAAAATTGTACTTTATGAAAAGAGCTAGATAATGGTATTCATTTTCATGCCGGACGATTTTCTGTTTACTAACGAAATGATGGAAGTTACTAATATGGAATTTCTAAATTACCATTAATTTTGAGAACTAACGATCACATCCGAAACACCCTGGTTTCAGGATTTTCATTCCTTGTCTCTTCCCTGTTTACTTGGATTGCTTGGTGATGGAGCCCTCTAGGTGATTCTATTTTCTTAACATTGTAAGATTGATCCTCTACGTCATTTTTGTTTGTGCATAATATTACAAATATTCGAATAACCAATCAATAGCTACCTCGTAGGATGGTACCTCTCTTTAAGCAATTATTAATGAAGCTAATGCGTCTTTTTCCTTGTTGCTTGCGATATGACATTAAGGAGAAACTTGTGACCTTGAAGTTTGATCTTTTTTGTCTTTGGGAGGAACTTGTCTAGTTATCGATGTACCAAATCGTGTCACTTCTGTTGCTTATCATGCGCTTGACAAAAATGGGTTTTTTTCCCCGTAGGTGCTACGGTTTCAGAAAGAAAGAGATGCTAGCTTTCTTTGTTTGATTGAATACACTTGCTGGTGCACAGGTTCATGAAGTTCAAAGATAAAGCTACATTCTTCGGTGGTCTCTCATTTCTCTTCGCTCAGCCTTGCCTTCGCCACCGCCACCGTGAGCTTGCCTGCCGTGTGTGACCTAGTCATCGAGTCCTAACCACAGTCGCCTTCCTCTTAATTTCTGTGTCTCGACTATAGAGTGTTCCGTTATTGATGATTGGCCGCACATTGAGCCAGATCTGGCTCTGCTCTCTTGACTAGAGCCAAAATTGACGAAAATTACCAAAAAAGTTTTCAACCTATTTTAATTTGTTCAATATGAAAATATTTAATGTAGTCCTTTTATTAATTTAATTCCAGGGACTATATTGAATATTTTCATATAGTTTACAGACTACATTAAACATGTACCAAAGTTCAGGGACCACATTGTACAAATTAAAAGTTCAGAGACATATTGCACATTGGGCCAAAGTTCAGGGACTGTTTGTATCATTATCCCGCTGGACTATATGTTGTCATGTATTTATCTACCACCCACAAAAGCACTTTGTTCTATTGTAATCATCTCTAGGAGTCATGGCTTAAGACGGTTAGCCATCATTTTTGAAATAATCTTGTAACTAAAGTTGCACATGCTAATTGGCTTGAATTGTGAGATGTTCTCTAGGCTGGCTACTTTCGGAATAAGTACAATATGTGTCAAGTTAAGGGAGGGATCGAAAGTATCTGTAGTGAAGAAATTATCCACCATTTCGAACACATCTTGCAAAATTTCGGTCCAGTAATGATGATAGAATTGCCCGTTAAGCCCATCCAAACCAGGTGCCTTAGTTGCTCCCATTTGAAACACTGCTTCTTTTATTTCCTCTAATGATACTTTCCTCATCAAGGCCACATTCATATCATCATGGACAAGGTTTGGACATTGATCAAGTAAGGGTTGGAAATTTCTGGGCCCCACTATAGTGTATAGGGATCTGTAGAATTGCCTGATATGTTGCTTTAGTGTTTTAGGATCACGACACCACTGATTATCCTCTACTTTCAACATTGATATTTGATTTCGTGCTCTTTGTTGGACTATAGTGGCATGAAAATATTTAGTATTTTTGTCCCCTCACCTTAGCCAGTTTATTTGGAATCTCTTAATCCAGTACATCTCTTCTTGCCTCCATAATCTCTTAATGCATTTTTCGCTGGGATTCCTCCCTTTAGTCGATCCCATTAGTGTTAATAGTTACTTTAGTTAGCCTCTTCATCAAATGCTCAATTTGCTTTCGAGCATTGGAAAATTTCCTTTTACTCCAGGTCCCCAACACACTAGCCACCTTCCTAGATTTCCTCCTTAAGTCTCCACGCGGGCAGTATTCATCATGCTAGGCCTTTTTATCGATTTCCTCACATTTCAGGTCTTCTACCCAAAATGCCTCAAAGCGGAACTCCTTTTTCCTCTTGGTTGTCTTCGAGCGAAGTGTAAGGAAAAGAGGAAAGAACCTATAGCTGGTAGAGCATAGGCCTCCGCGTTTGGAAATTCCACTTTCCACTCTAAGTTGCATACTGCCCTATCCAGACGTTTCCTTATCAAGGCTTCCCCTTCTCTATTGTTGGACCACGTATATGCATATCCCTTGCTTGCAATATCCATTAACGAGCAATCATTCAACATTTTCCAAAAGGCCACCATTCTATAATTATCTGCCCCTTGTCCTCCAGCTTGTTCCCAGCCATATCTAAATTCATCAAAGTCACCCATACAAATCCATGGTAGAATATTGGTGTGGTGGATAGCCATTAGCTCATTCCATAAACGTAGTCTTGCCTAAAAATTAGTGGAGGCAAGTAAAAATGATATTCACCTTTGAGTTCCACATATGGGGTCCCTGCAAGTAATGTCAATCAGCTCCTTAGAGTAGTCCTATACTTCCATTGATATCTCCTCTTTCTAGGGGTGATCAGTTCCCGGTCCAGTTCCCTTTTTTTAGAACTGTCTGGTCCGGTTCCCGACGGTTCAATGGAACCAGTGAAAGATAACGGTAATACATCGAAAGAACAAGAACCAAGTAACATGCATTCGCCTTTGCTCTTTCCCAGCAAAAGAACAAAAAGTGTGAGCATGACACACTTAACTAATAATACCCTTTGACATAGCCAAATGGCCGTGAAAGGCATACATCACATGAGAGTGGCTTGCCTCGAATTTTATTCAAAGCCCCTCTTATGATCTCTGCGTGGCCATTTGATGTGGGACACTTGATATTCGCATGGAGACACAACAACAGAGCCAAGCCAAAAGTCCCACATCGAACGCGTTCACATAGAAGGCTGGACACCCCAATAGAGAAAAGCCATACACACGGAGAGTCCCACATCGAATAGGAATGAAGAAACCGTAAAAGGGGTTGTGCATAAAACCCAAGCCATGTACGGTAATTAAAGTTCAAATGCTTAATTTTGAACCTTTTAAAGAAATAAAATTAAAATTTTAAAAATAATTGGTCCAGTCCGGTTTCCCCTAGAACTGGGAACCGGACAGGCCCCCCTTAGAACCGCCTAGAACCAGGCCCCCCTTAGAACCGCCTAGAACCAGCCGGTCCGAGCGGTTTCTGGTTCGGGCGGTTCCCACCGCTACCTCTTCCCACATAATTACCATTCCCCCTGCTATTGCAATAGAGTCGCTAATGATTAACTTCTTGAACTTAAGCTATTGTTTCAACCTAACCACCGTTGATCTTTTATTCTTGATCTCCATGAGGAACATCAAATTGGGCCTTTTAAGAGCCACTAGGGCTCAGAGATGCTTGAACGTTAGGGTGGAGCCCAGTCCCTGACAGTTCGAGCTTAATACTTTAATTTTTCCTTCGGTGGCTTATTAATGTTAGCCACCAAAGCCCATTCCTGAACCCCTTCATCCACCTGAATAGGAGTGTCGAGGAGAAGTGTCTTATCAATATCACTCGCATCTATCCCTTTTGTACTATTTGGTTTTCTTGATCTTCTTTGTTGCTAGGGGAGTATGGCTCTTCTCGCCTTTTTTATGTGGGACGGATGTGCCTTTAGAAGAAGTTGTCGAGCATGATGAGTCTAGGAGTAGCAGCCGAGTACCTTTGGAACTATTCCCTTTTGCCGTCATCGACCCCTCAACTATGCATTTTCCTTTTGCTTTTGATGATTCTAACAACTGAAACTCAATGGGATTTCCCAGTTGCATATCATAGTTTTCAATGGGGGCTAGGGTTTCCTTGGTATAAGTCAATATTGATGTTTTTCTGGAACTGTTTCTTCTTCTTCGAGTGGATCAACTTCCCCATAATATAACTTCCAGAAAAGACTATTCTCACGCGCTTCCACTTTCAGCCAATAGCTGAAGTTTCCGAGTCCCTCTTCCCCAGGCTCTTGCTCTTTATAGGGGATCTCCTCACAATTTGGGGCATAGTGGCCTATGCATCCACACGGATAGGAGTAATAGGGGAGTCGCTTATACTTGAAATCAACCCATACTTGATCATCATTGTCAAAATTCATAATAGTTCCTAGCCACAAAGGACTAGATAACTCTATGAGCACCTGCGCTCTTCCCACTTTGCATGGACTACCATCTTTTCCATCTATTTTTAGCTCCACCACCTTTCCAATCTTCCCTACCACCTCCATCATAGTTTCTTCGTGATGCGAAGTACTAGTAATCCAAGGACTTGCACCCAAAATTCACAATGGGTAAAAACATGTCGATGGATACGTACCTTAGGTTGAAGTTTCTATAGGATGAGCAAATTGCTAGAGAAACACCATGGACTAGCTTCCAAAACTCTCTTCAAAACAACTTTTGTTTTGAACGTGAACGAGAGGATGCCCGATTGCAATGGTTCGCATACCATATTTTCAGTCTTCCACGCCACGCCTTCTTCATTGTGGATAAAATGACCTAAAGGTTTATGCTTGGCCTGGAATATACTTTCCCTAGTAAAATCATATTGCATGCTTTCCATTTTTCCACAGGAATTTCTTCAAACACGTTGGCTAAAAATTTTTCTGTCCACATTTGCCCCATTTTTTTACATAGCACAGCCATTCTCCGTTCCTTTTCTAACTCCACCATTTCTTGCACTATATTATAGTTGCTCCTCCCAAAGTGACCCTACAACACACCATACAGGTTCATCCAAGAGGAAGACCCATTCTGGAACACGAGAGGTACCTGTTACCGACCTGGACAGGGACTACCTTTCTGCGTTTTCCTCCAACTTGGCGCCGAAGCTTGATCCTAAGCAACGTTGGCTGTAACGTGACTAAAGGTATTATGGATGAAAGGAGCTCTAGGCCAAATAATATCACCTGCCGCTAGCCGGGAGCTGCAGGATGTCTTGGGGTGTCGCCATTTTTTAAGGTTCGTGGTTAGGGGTGGAATAGGTTTTTTTGCCAGTCACGTTACTGGATAATGGGGATTGTGGGTCAGGATGATGATACGCAGCTTGCTCTTAGGGTTCTTTGAGGTGGTAATGGAAAAGGCTTGACCTCGCCTTGCCGGCCTTGGGCTTGGCCTCACCTCGCCTCGCCATATCTAGCAAGGCTTGACCTCGCCTTGCTGGCCTCGAGCGAGAGACTGAGCCTCGCCTCGCTGGATCCAGCGCAGTGGAGCCTCGCCCAGGGCAAGGGAGGCTCGAGCTTGCCAGCCATGGACGAGCTCATTCCTTGCTTGTGGCCAGCAGTAGAGAAAAAAAGAAAAAATTATAAAAAATCAAAGAAAAAGAAAAAAAAGAAAAGAAAAATAAAAAATAATTAAAAAGAAAAGGAATGTGAAGGAGTGTAGAGAGTAAAGAAATGGAAAATGTTTTACTGAGGGAAAATGTTTTCCTTGACTAGTTTATTTTTTATGAACCGAACGTCAGAAAATCCCTAAAACATTTTCTTGGAAGTTGTTTTTCGCGAAACGAACAGAGCCTTAATAAGCAATATTCGGACTTTCCTTATGGGATTCACGTATGATAGTCACCGAGGAACATCGTAGAAACTTAGCATAGGACCTGAATGACTCTTTCATGTTGGTGGCATGTCATGTACTACAATAATACTGGTCAAGTTGTTCAATTATATTATTTGCAGGACTCCGAAAACTATTTGCTGGTAGACTTTAGTCATCATCTGCATATAGAATCATTGTGATGACAATTAGAGTCTCTAAGCTAGCAAGAGAGAAGTTCATACAAAACTCGCAAAATCGTCATTCTCCACCACCGATGACTTGTCGTCAACGTTAACCATATGGTATATCGTAAAAATATACTCTGAAACGAAACTAGCTGTGCAGACCGGAACCATGCTAGTATTCAAGTCAACAGAACAAGTTCTTTTTGGCCAACGGGGGTGATCCATCATTCAAAAAGCAAAACAAGATTTGCGAATACTCTCCTGTTCTCATCCGTCTTTAATGGTGAGTTGAATAAGCATAAAATCTGAACAATGTTTTGGCTGCTGTAAAGATTTCGGAGAATTTATGATTGATAAAATGCCATGCATCGAAGATAAAAATATTGGAATGAAACACATCAGAATTTGGTTAAGAATAAGACATACATTTAATTAGCAATTTTCGAAATGTCCCGGGGCATTCCCATGCACGAGCCGCCGCCGACTAGAAACATAGGAGAATCTTTAGCTAGGCCTGTCAAATGGTGGGTCGGATCGGGTTTGGATCGGGTCATAAATGGTCCGACCCAAATTGACCCATTAACCCGTTTATGACCCATTTATGCGTAATGCAATTTTCTTGACCAATACCCGACCCGATCCATACCCGATTAGACCCATATTGCTAAAATATTTTCATATTTAATTAAATATAGAAAAATTCATACCCAAGCTGAAATGAGAGTGCGGAGTGAGTGAGTGCAAAAATGAGTGAGGGCGAGAGAGATGCGTTGAGTTTAAATCAGTTGTAAACTCATTACGATCCATTTAACACTAATATAAAACTTCTACCCATTTATGACCCATTTACTAAATATAACCAACCCATTTATGACCCATTTATTAATATATGGATTAAAAAATGGGTTTATGACCCATTTTGATAGGTCTATCTTTAGCCTATGACGTCAACCGTCTTGCCACGTCATCGGTGAGACAGTCCATCCAGCTCGCGACACGTGGCTTTCGGGACCCGCCCGTCAGAAATTTTCAAAGAGCCCCTCCCCTCTCCCCGCTCTCCCCGTTACTGTTTCTCCGTTTTGCTCCCTCCGTTTCCGCCTCGAGAAGACACGAAGGCTTCATTTCTCTCTCGATCTCTTCCCCTCCGTCCCTCTCTCCACGACCCAAAAAGGCACCACCACGCTCTGCTCTCTCCCTTCCTCCTTCCTTCGCTTCGCTCTGCTCCGTCTCTCCGTCCCCTCTTCGCGCGACCTCGCCCCCCCTCCTTCGCTCGAAGCTCGACCCGCCCCTTTCTGTCGTCCGCGTCCGGCTCAGGTTAGGGTTTCTCCCCCCCTCTCTTCCTCGAAGCGAGCGCTCCGCTCTCCCCTCTCTCTCCGTCTCTCTTCACGACACCCCTGCTTCACTTCGCGACCTCTGCTCCCTCCCCCCTCCTACTTCGCGACCCCCCTCTTTCTCGGGAATTTCAAAGGGACCAAAAGTGCCGGTGCCTCTCTTCGCGACCGAATAAGCAGCGGCCTCCGCCGTCGCCTCGCGGGGCCCACCGGCAGCTCCGGCTCGTTGTCTCCGTCCGACAGAGCGAAGATCTGCTGGAGGTTAGAGCTTTCCTCCTCTTTCGCGCTTTATATTTGTTGGGGTTCGCGGGAATCATGGTTTTTGCTGGATTGAGATTTTTTTTTGCTGCTGGGGGTGGTGTAGTCCCTTAGGCAGCTAGTTTCGCGCTTTTTTGAAATTAGAACGGTCGCTGAGAGGCATGGGTAGAGAGAGAGAGGGCGCAAACATAGAGTGGAGATGTGTTAGATGAATGATGAATAAAAACCATAAGTCGTCCACGTGTACGTTTGAATATATGTGCAAAAAAAGATAATGGTTGAGCTAGCCTTGTTAATTTTCGAACGTTCTGAATGGATTTAAGTTGAGATTAGTATCAAAATCCGGGTTCATCCATGTGTCTTCTCACCCTTTTGCCGGACACATGTAACCTGTTCGATGAATTTCCCATGAGACCTTGTTATACATCAGTCCCTCTTATTGTTCAAATCTGAGCGTGTATTGATGGGCCCGCAAGAGACACGCGTGGACTAGTATTTTGCTGACGTGTATACACTAGGGTACCCAATATTTTCTGCCCTCCAAGTCTTTTCAGTGCTTCCTGCAATCATCACTCCACCCACTCCCCGTTTGCTTCTGCGTCTTCAGCAACTTCGAACATGGTGAGACCCTCCTCCCTCTCTGAGAAAACGTGAAGTAGCTATATCTTTCAAGGTGAAGAATCAGCAACCCGGAATTTCCAAGCTTTCTGGGTAATGTACTCTTTCATCTTATGGATTCTAATGGTTTGATAGTCTCGGAGGCAGAGGAAGAACGAGTTGTCCATGCTCTTTCCGCGGAACCCAATACTGAAGACTTATCCACCATGGCTGTAATAGCTGTTTTCGGGGCACGTTGTGTTGTTTCCGGATAATGGGTGTTCGTTGGCAATCCCGTGCGGGGTTTAACTGGAGGAATTTCGAAAGATTGCATTTTGGATGTTTGATGAAATGCTTCTGTGAGAAGTGTGATCTAGCAACGTTGCTTGTGGTGGAGATAATTTTATGGTGGCTGTGGCGGCGGCGAGGCGAACTATGGTGGAGATGATGGTGGGTGAGGTGATGGACATGATGGTTGGATCATGGTTGTGGGGAAAATTGTACTATATGAAAAGAGCTAGATAATAGTATTCATTTTCATGCCGGACGATTTGCCGTTTTCTAACGAAATTATGGAAGTTACTAATATGGAATTTCTAAATTACCATTAATTTTGAAAACTACCGATCACATCGGAGACACCCTGGTTTCCGAATTTTCATTTCATGTCTCTTCCCTGTTTACTTGGATTGCTTGGTGATGGAGCCCTCTAGGTGATTCTATTTTCTAAACATTGTAAGATCGATCTTTTACGTCATTTTTATTTGTGCATAATATTACACATATTCGATTAACCCCTCTCTTTAAGCAATTATTAATTTAGCGAATGCGTCCTTTTCTTCGTTGCTTGTGATATGACATTAAGGAGAAACTTGTGACCGTGAAGTTTGATCTTTTTTGTCTCCGGGAGGAACTTGTCTAGTTATCTATGTACCAAACTGTGTCACTTCTGTTGCTTATCATGCACTTGACAAAAATGGGTTTATTTCCCTGTAGGTGCTACAGTTTCAGAAAGAAAGAGATGCTAGCTTTCTTTGTTTGACTGAATACACTTGCTGGTGCGCAGGTTCATGAAATTCAAAGATACTTGATGGTGTACTAGTGGAAATGGACTTGGTTAAGCTACATTCTTTGGTGGTCTTGCTCTGCACGCTCAGCTTTGCAGGCAACAGAGTTTGTTATGCTTTTGACAATACGTCAGTATAGGCAAAATTCTGTTTGTTTACAGGAGCGCATTGCATGAGTGTGTTGTTGAGCTCAAAGGATTGCCTGCCATCCTGCAGGGTCGAGAAGACAATGCTAAAAGTAGGTGAGGAGCTATGGAAAGAATCTCTCCCACTTCACAGAGGATCTTGCCTTTATAAGCTGGAGGGCCTCAAACCTTACACGTGGTATGAAGTGAAGATATCATATCCAGCTTCTGTATGTAAATGTGTTTTCAAGGACTTCCTTTTTCATTATCTCTATACTTGGTGATATATAATTGCTTTGTGTTGAATGACAGATACCTGCTTGCTTCTCTCTGCAACTAACGTGGGGTGATTCGGACTCAGCCATGAACTTGAATAGAAAATTACTTAACACTGAGAAAATAATATTTAAGACGGAGAGCCTCGAATTGATACAGAATCAGGTTCCTACTATCAATGATTATGTCTGCATTGTTGGATATTTGAAAGCCTTACAGTCTTCCATTCTGGTCCAGGGTGGAATGCATGTCCTGGTTACAGTGGAACCTGAAGGAGTTGTTGCCATACGAGATGTAAAGGAGAGAGAATCCATCATCTATAATATAGGTAACTCATAGTAAAGCCGTTCCTGCAATTACCCTTTAAATCATTGTCAATTTAATAAGAGAAGATAACCATATTCCAAGTGTAGTCATCATGCAGTCCTTCATAATGACATTGTATGGGCTGCTAATTTAATGCTTTTTCATGTACTTTCACATGGCTTGTTGGTTTTACTATCAAAAGACATAATGGAAATTTCACTATTGCACATATAATATGCTGTAATGAATCAAAAAGATTTTTCTTATAAATTGTTGATGCTGTGATTACCAACTGTGTCATGGTTATCTGATATGTCTATAGTTGAAGACATCGAAGATAAAGGAGGGAAACTCAACTGACAATGTTTCTCCTTAAACCTCGAGTTGTCTACATCTATCTTGCTAAAAAGTAGTGGTTGATAGAGGAGAAGCATATTAAGTGTTTGTAGTGGAAGTCCTACATGTATGGCGCATGACATGATTATCGTAAGCATCTTCGAGCAATCTGAGGAATTCTTAGATCATGGAGTTCCCTAATCTCGCAGACACCGGTTACCAGGCATTTAACGGCCCCTGCAATTGTGAATGGTCCTATAAAGTTTCTGATATCACTGGACTCATGAAATTCATGTAAAGATATGCACTTGCATCTGTAACAATTGTCTGATTTGAGAATAGAATCTACACACACACACACACACACACACAGAGTTAAATGAGAAAGAATATTGCAAGTTTCTTTTGAAATGCAAATTGAGTATGGTATTTTTCCACAAGATATTCCACAATACTCTTTGTGAGACATTCTTGTGGATGATGAAATATCCATCAATCTTGCCAAAACAAAAAGATAGACATCTAATGGTTACTAAAAAAGAAAAGGGAGAATTTCCATAAAATACTGAACTGAAATAGATGGAATTGGAATATGATCTTGAAGAAATCACTTCTAACCCTCTATAAAGAAAGACAACAAAAAAATGGAGTTTAAGGAAGAAACCGTTTTACTCTCAAGAAGATTCTATACAATTAGCTTGCTAGCTTTTTCCACACCAAGTCGATGGCACAAAGTGAAGATTCTGACAAATGAAGGAAAAGTTATCATTTATGCTTCTATGTTTCTCATTGTTGCATATTATTTTACATGCTCAAAATATTAGATGTACTTATATTATGATTCAATGAATATTACAACTTTATGTTTGATGTTTCTTTTAAACAGAGGATAAACCTACATGATGAGATTAATAATCACTTCAAAAAGTACTCCATGTAAACTCTGGTGGAGAATCTTATTGATGTGACTATTAATATTATTATAACTTTTTGCTTATTATTTCTCTCGTAAAAATTCACGTTGATACCAACATTTAGAATAATATAACAAATATAATCTTGGACCTGTGCAGGGTGCAGACATCTTGTAGAATAATATAATAAATATAGTCTTAGACCCTAGCAAGGCATGGGCATCTTGCTAGTTATCACATAAGTTCGCTTACCGTTTGGTCTTGACAATCATCCTCTACTTTCTGATTTTGTATAACTCACTAATGGTACAAGAATAAACCATCAGTAGAATTTTCGTCAGTGTATTATTTACTTGCAACATAAGAAAACTTATATAATTTCTGACGGAATCCCTTGTGACTCCAATGGCAGTTTGTGATGAACTCTTACTAGGGATCCCACACAAAGCTTGGCCCGTTGGAATTTTGGTCCTGCTTTGCTTGGTAGTGGCATTCATTGTTCCGTCGTTTCTCCCACCATTTCTACTGGCGAAAAGTCGTTCTCAGCAGGAACTTCATGAAGATGTCTCGAAAAATTCTTAGCGAGTGATGTTTTGAGTAGTTGGTGTCTGCTTTTTTCTCATTTTCTTGAAGTGGCAATGAGGTGTAAGAGCTGTCAATCAACTTGGTTCTGCAGCTTCTGCTCTCGTGGGGAGTTTAGCAAAAGTATCGTACTTTTCTTTTCAAAAAAACATCAACAGTGACTCGATTTCGGTTTCAAATGGAGTAGAAGTGGGCACTTTATAAATTAATGAAATGATTGGGGATACACTCTGCGTACGTGCACGCCATTTGTGTGCCTTTTGTTATCCGATCGTGATTTCTAACGACAGGATAGAAAGCGATATTTGGAAGTGTCCACAGCATCGGACGTGGCCTCGGTTTCATGATCCACAACATATTGAAAATGGAATCCAGTATATCGAATGTATTTTACAGGTAGCGCGTTGGAATTACAGGGAATTGAACTGTGTTTCATGGGAAGGATCGAGATGAAGATGGTCTCAGTTCATCCTGTAGAATAATAAAGAGGGACTGCACATCAATGTCTAGAACAGGGGCTTGTCCATTGCACAAGCAGATGGCTCGTTCTGGGTTGAGCAGAGCATATGTGTCTTTAAAGCGCACAAAAGCCACTGAAAAAAGTTCCTGGCAATAAAGTGAACTCATTCCATGGGTATGAACATGGAAAGTGTTTGTATGAATGATCACATTTCATTTTTGTAGGTCCAAATGAGGCTGATCCAGACAAGAACTTAGACCATTCAACTCACATATGACTTTCTGTCCAAAAAAAAAAAAACAAAAGTTAACTTATGATTGATTATCGAGATTGTAAGTATAATATAGGCGCTGTTAACGAGTGTCTCTGGAGCACTCAATAAGAACTTAAAGATAGAGAATAATTTTCAATGTACATCCAACAACAACATGAGGATTGAAAATGTTTTATCATTTAGCACATCGTGGGTAACAAAACACAAGATTAAAAGCATAATTAATATTTCTTTTGTCGAGTACGAGGGGCACATTTCAGCAAAACCCATGTAGTGTTTGCATTTTCACCTTTTGGGAATGAGAAAACTTTCTTTTCGATACTTCCGAACACAACTTAACGTCACTCCTGTACCCATGAAAGCCAAACCAACTCTTGCATTGTCCAGGCATCGCAACTTTTGTATTATTTTAATCGAACAGTTCTTATTCATACAGGAGAACCGCCAGCGTGATCGATTCTATGAGGAAAAGGAAATCTTGATAATAAAATATCGAAAGAAACCCCGACGGGAAGAAATCACGGAGCTAATCATCCCTCGAAACAGGAGATGCGCGAGAACGTGAATTACAGATTCGCGCTGCTCATGGATCTCTTGGGCCTCGGTCACGACTCGTCAACATAAAGAGTAGGGGTGAGCATGGTCCGGGTTGGGCCGGTCCACCCCCTAACCCTAGGACCAACCCGCACAGTGTTGGTCTTCAATTTTTGGGACCGAGGACCGACCCTATTGAGCCTAGGACCGAGGACCGGACCGACCCAATGGGTTCGGTCCGGTCCAGGGTCAACCCGGGACCAACCGATAATTTTTTTATTTCATTTTTTGTACCGGGTTTAACCGGGACCAACCGACCCAATGGGTTCGGATCGGACCGGCGCGGCGAGTGGCGAGCGGCAAAAGGCTAGCAATGAGCGGGACGAGCACTTTCAATAACAAGGCGCAACCCACAAGATGTAAGGAAATTCACGAAAGACTAGCATTTTCACGACCAAATCGCTAGCAAATGTCAACAAAGGGAATATGTTGTTGAGGAAAACTCCTATTGATTTTGAAGTTGACAAAACCTTCCATGTTATTGTAAATCTGATACTTATTCTGAACTATTCTATTCCAGGAATGTATATATATTATGAAAGCTCAGAAGGAAGTTTTTCAGACTTTACAAGCTGGTAAATACATTATTGAAGACCCATATAATCTAAGTTACGAGACTCGAGACACCGAAATTATTGAGCCGAGACGGAGAAATTTTAAGAAGCGGATCTGAGAAGCTGAAATTTTCGAAGCGTGAGCGCTTGACGCAGAAATTCTTGAATCGAACTCGTAACGAAAAACAATAGCTAGTGATCGGTATGGATTTCACGAAGGAAAGCTTTGATCTCGGACGCCGAAATTATTCGAGCCTTAGACGGAGAAATTTTAAGAAGCGGATGCGAAGCTGAAATTTTTCGAAGCGACGCAGACGCAGAAATTCTTCAGATGCAGAACTCAGAACGAAAAACAATAGCTAGTGATCTGGTATGGATTTCACAGAAGGAAAGCTTTGATCTCAATCAAATTGATTGACAATCAAAGATTACGACAAGCATGCATAACAACTTCACAAGCTCCACATCAAATACATCCGTAGCTTATATTATATATCACACATGGGAGTTTGCCACAAGTTCACAATAGTCAGCAAGTAAACACAACAACAACTTTCCTATTCTCAGGAATCAAAAGAGCAAGCAACTTATTAAGCTTTGAGAGCTCTTTCACTTCAAGTTCCAACATCCTGAAAACAAATAAGTATAGATGAAACAAGTCTGAAATAATAGTGTTTACAATTTACAGACACTTTGTATTGAAGAATATGAACTTACGCATGAATAAAAGCAGCAAACAACTTCTCAGGCTTTGAGTGCTCTAAAACTCCAAGTTCCAACCTCCTGAAAACAAAACAACAATACGTATAGATGCAGATGATCACACAACATTAGTTATAAATTAGAACTACAAATTGAAATCAAACAATTATTGAAAAATCTCACCACATATATTCCTTTCGCTTCAACTTGTAAACTCTATGTACTGTTAATCTCCACGTTAACATGATCCATATCTAATAAAAAGAAGATATTAAATAAAGCATTCACTCATTAGATATATGAAATAATTACAAGATGAAAAGATATGGCCTTACCCAACTCAAACTTTTCCGCATTCTCGATGCACTCTTCAATATTAATCGGCTCGATAACCGCTCTCAACCAATCTTGAGTGCAAATCAAAGCTTCCAAGACTCTAGGAGTCAAAGAACTTCTAAAGCCATCAAGCACACGACCGGATGTGCGAAGGTAGACTCGAAGCAACGATAGTTACGAGAATGCAGACAAAATATCCCGAGCCATCAAAGATAGAATTTTAAACTTTTGACCGGTCATGCTCCACCACATCAAAATGTCAAGATCGCGAGCCTCTTCAAGTTCAGCTTTAAGATACCGATCGAGTTCAGATAAGTTGCCCTCAGACTTCTTTTTCTCCTCATTAAGAAAGGCTTCATATGATGGCTCTTGCACGTAGAAATCCAAACCGCAATCTTCCCCTTCATTTCCCTCATCGCAATAAGGATCGCAACTACTACCAGCACTAGTAGAACTCAAAAGTTGACCACCCAAATTCTTATCACAAGACCCAAGAGAAGATTTCTCATAAAATTTAAACAAACGTTCCATGGCGAACTTCACCTTGTCAAACATCTCATCAACTATTGCAATATCATCATAAATGAGTCTACAACAATACCTCACATAATTCATTTTTTTTCTAGGATCCAATGCTACAGCAATCAACACCATCATATTCACTTTCTCAAAACTCCCATAGTATTTGTCAAACTTATCTTTCATTTTCGCACCCATAACTCTCACCCTAGGATCGAAAGCCTTCGCCGCTTCTTTCAGATAATTGAATAAAGAAGCTATTCCCTCAAAATAATCATTTGAAGTGATATACAAAGTCCCAGACATCTTGTTGGTTGCATCATAAAACTTCTTCAAAAATTTGCAAAGAATAATGGCATTTTCCCAATCAACACTAGTTGGAGTATCGGAGCTAAGCTCAGTTGAGAAAGAAATATCTTCTTCATCCATCCTTTCAAAAGCTTTTCTTAGCTTTATGGCGGTGTCTAACATTAGGTAAGTGGAGTTCCACCTAGTGGAGACATCAAGACAAACTGAACCCTTATAAGTGATCCTTGTTTTCTCAATGCAATCTTGAAATGCTTTAGCTCTCATGGGAGAACTTCTCACATACCTAACAACGTTACGAATACGTGCAATAGAATCGCGTACCTCAGCTAAGCCATCCCTCACAATCAAGTTTAATATATGAGCCGTGCACCTCATGTGTAAAACTTCACCATCTAAGATCAAAAGTTTATCTCTTGCAAACTTTTCTTTCAAATAACCAATGGCAACATCATTCGAACTAGCATTATCCACAGTGATTGTTGACACTTTTTTCTCTATTCCCCACTCGTAAATGCATTTCTCAACCATTTTCCCAATATCCCTACCCTTGTGACTAGGCAACACCACAAAATTGATGATTCTTTTGTTCAATTCCCAGTTTTCATCAATAAAATGTGCGGTGAGACATAAATAGTTCAAATTCTGAAGGGAACTCCATGTATCAGTCGTGAGTGCGATTCTAGAATTAAGCTTATGAAAGGAAGCCTTCAAACTCTTTTTTTCACAAAAATACAACTTCATACAATCTCTAGCCACCGTAAATCGCGACACATGCTTGAAGAGAGGCTGTAATTGATTGGTATAATCACGAAATCCAACATGCTCAGCCATCGAAAATGGTTGTTCATCAATTATAATCATTCGAACTAGCATTTCCCTACATTTCTCCTGATCAAACTTCCATGTCGTTAAAAAACTAGCACTTCCAATACTAGTATTTCCCCCTATCATTTGATTCCCACATACTGTATGTGATGCAAACAATTTTTGCTTCTTATCTATATTGCGAGGATACTTAGGGCACTTTCTCAAATGTTTCAACATAGTTGAAGTGCCATTATCAACATGGTACAAATACTTGGTCCCACAATAATTGCAAAACATTTCAAGTTTCCCGTTCGCGTCAGTTTTGCCTTTACGAAAATGAAGCCAAGCTACTGATTTTCGCTTACTAGACTGAGGACAAGAACCGGATACCTTATCTGATGCCTCTTCAAAGTCATCTTCCCCTCCTCCATGTTCTAGTGATTCTGATTCAATTATTGGTGTTATCTCATCATAGGATTTCTCTACTTCCATTGACATGTTAATAGATCACCTGCTCAAATCAAGCAACATGTCATTAACGGATAAAATTTAAGGTCATCAAGATTCAAAACTAAAGCTAGAAAACCCATCTAAACGACTCCGAAACGCAAAAAACGACGCGTCGATCACGGCGTAGCCGTGATAAAACTTATCATGACGGGTAGGCTTGA